CAAGGTTGTATCATCTGCATATCACAGGTTGTTAATGAGTCTTGCTCCAATCCTGATGCCACGTTTTTCTTCATAGAACCCAGTCTCTCGTATTAAGGGCTAACAAAGTCAAAAACACATACTACATTATATAGCCCAATTTCCAAGAACTGAAGACAGCTGGAGTTGGAGTTCAATCATTCATGGCTATGTAAAGAAACTCCAATCCCAACAGTGTATACTGAAGTGCAAATGAGTTTTCTGGTTGATGATCCACGAAACCAAGAAGATAATGTGTGTCACTGTAGTCCCAGTGTGGTGCTGTAGGATAAGCACTGGGCTGCTAACTGAAAGGTCAATGGTTCATGCCCACCAGCTGTTCCTTGGAAACACTATACAGGGTCACTGTGAGTCAGAAATGACTGGACGACATTTAAGAACAAAAACACGAGACACTGAAAGAGCCTAGGTGGTGCTGTAGGATAAGCACATGACTGTTAACTGCAAGACTGATGTTCTAAACCCACCAGCCACTCCATGGGAAACAGATGAGGCTTTCTGCTCCTGTAAAGATTTACACGTAGCCTTGGAAACTCTATACAGTGTCACACTAAGTAGGAATTGACTTGACAGTGAATTTTGTATGGGGACCTTGCCCTATGCATCTTGCCTTTATGGTCTTCCTAGTTTTTATCCTTTATAATAAAATTTTACTCTTAAATACTTCATTATCTTAAATTCAGAGTTGTTCTAGCAAATTATGGAACCTAAGAAGGCAGTAGCAATCCAAAATTTGTAGCCCGTTATTCAGAATTACAGGTGCTCTTAGGAATCTCTGAGCTTCCAGCTAGACAGTTAAGCCTTGGGCAAGCTCTATAGCCTTAATATGTAATGTTTATATCTACTCTCAGGAGTTAGGGTCAGAAATGCATTCCTATTAGTTTCAGAATAGAACCGGATGGATATATTTAAGAATATTTCACTAAACATAAACAAAGCTATATTAATAAGGCTCAGTGATATGTTCAGCAGTGACACATCATAATCCTAGGTTAAAAACTGTGATTTTCATAGGCCATAAATAATTGTGAGCCAAAGGTGGGGCCTGGGGGAAGAAGACATCTTACTTAGCTCTTGCAGTCTTCGTAAGTACATTCTATCTTCCTGAGCTTCTTGCATTTGAAGATAAAAGCGCAAAGTTGATTTGTCCATAGCAAACCAGCCTTTTCTCCACAGATCCAGATCATGGCAGTCTTTGTAGAAGAGTTGACCAATCAAATCATAGTCAGCTTCTGTTAAGTTTTCAGCAACAAAGGGAACAAAATGCTGTTAAAACAAATACAGAAAGGTAATAAAGACAGTGAAAACAAGAAATCTCTTCCTTTTTACACATATGGGGTGGGGGGAGTGGAAAACTAATCTTTTTTACAACTATTTTAAAGACTTTTAAATAAACCAAAATTTCAAAACAATGATCTAAACTTGTTATCAGTCTTAAAATTAAACAACTATAATGGATCTTTAAATGGCAGCCCTTTAAGCATGTTTCCTCAGTACATAGCTATGTTGTTGTTGCTAAATGCTGTCGAGTCAGTTCTGATTCATAACGATTCTGTGGTTTAAACCAACCTTTTGCTCCAGTACTTCATCTCACAGCTCCACACCAAGAGCTATAGAGCAGCTGCTATTATCAGGCAGTGTAGAGCCGGTACACCTCATAGCGACCCTGTATAGACTTTATGAGGCAGAAAAAGTTCTCTTTCTCTTGTGCCGTAGTTAGTGGGTTTGAACTGCCAAATTTGTGGTTAGCTGTCCAGTATTTGTCCTACAGCACTATGAGTGCTCCTTTATAGAGGGGTTCTTGTTGCCGTTAAAGGGCTATTGAATCAATTCCAACAAACAGTGACCGGCTATAGAGTTTCCAAGGAGCAGCTGGTGAGTTTGAACCACTATCCTTATGGTTAGCCAACCAGTGTTTATCTTACAGCACAATGCAAGAACTCCATATCAAGGGGATGTGTGCTATCAAGTTGGTTCTGACTAATAGCCAAACTGTATACGGTTTCTGAGGCTGTAAATCTTTGCAGGAGCAGAAAGCTCGTCTTTCTTCCACAGTGCAGCTGGTTGCTGTCAGCAGCCCTACATGTAATCCACTACATTTCCAGGGCGCCTCATACAGGGAAGATGCTGTTGTTGTTAAGGGCTATTGAGTTGATTCTGACACATAGGAACATGTATAGAGTTTCTGAGGAGCAGCTAGAGCGTATGCACCACTGACCTTATGGTTAACAGTCCAGTGCTTATCCTACAGTGTGACAACAGGACTCCATATCTAGGGGTGGTTGTCATGGTGGCTATGTGCCACGGAGTCAGTTCCAACTTACAGTGACCCTGGTATAGGGTTTCAGAGGCTATAAATCTTTACAGGAGCAGAAAGCTTCATCTTTCTCATACGGAACAGCTTGTAGATTTGAACTGCAGCCCAACTTGTAACCCACTGCATTACCAGAGCTCCTTATATATAGGGGTGGTTACTGTTAAGTGCTCTGGTAGCGTAGTGGTTACGAATCGGGCTGTGAACCTTAAGGTCGGCGGTTCGAAACTACCAGTCGCTCCGCGGGAGAAAGATGAGGCTTTCTACTCCCGTAAAGATTTACACCCTCGGAAACCCTGTACAGGGTCGCTATGGGTCGGAACCGACTCGACGGCACTTAACAACAACAACAACTGTTAAGTGCAATCAAGTTGGTTCTGACTCATAGCGACCCTGAATAGGGTTTCGAGAAGTGGCTGTTGAATTTGAACTGCTAACCTTGTGGATCAAATTGACCTTGCAGTCCAGTGCATTATCTCACAGTGCCACACTAAGACTCCATAAACAGGGGTTGTTGCTAAGTGCCCTCAAGCACTCCACACACAGGGGTTGATGCTGTTGTTGTTAAGTGCTGCCAAGTCAGTTCAAACACATAGCAACTTCTCTGCTAACAGCTCTAGAAAAGTAATTCTTAACCTTTTTCAACAACAGTCTTTTAAAATCTAATAAAGTATAGACCAGAGTTGTAATAAACTTTCGGGTAATCATGAAGCTCATCCACACAGACTCTATGTTACAAATTTTCTCTGGATTGAGGATGTTGTTGCATGCCATCTAGTTGATGCTGACTTATAGCAACCCCTTGCTACAGAACAGAGCAGAATGGTCCCATGGATTTTCCCCTAGGCTGTAAGCACTGGACCACAATGTCGGTTTGGACCACAAGATCCATAGTTCAAACTCACCAGTTGTTCCTTGAAACTCTATATAGTCCCTGTGAATTGGAACCAACTTGATAGCATTTAACAATAACAACCACCACTTTTATGAGGAACCCACTGAGTCTATAGGACAAATCACAAGACAGTAAGTTTGAGCCCATCAGCTGCTCAAGGTAGGCCAGATAAAGCTTGCTGCTTCTGCAAAGATTTACAGTCTAGAAAACTCTACACAAGGATGCTATGAGTGCACTTAACAACAACAATCTTTATGGAAAGAGATCACCAGGTCATTCTTCCATGGAGTCTCAGGTGGGTTCAAACTCTCAACTTACAGTGAGCAGTTAAGAGTTTAATTATTGTCCCACCCACGCTCCATGAATTTAAGATAATCTGATATTTAAATACCTTGGTTATTGCCTCTGTCCATTTTCTTTGTGCTTGAGATGTTTCTGCTCCAAATGAAAACACACGTTCTGAAGGTAAGTAGATCTCAAAGGTAAAGATGGGCCTATAGGTTATATAAATAAAAAGTTATAATCAATATTGAATGTTTGGCTCTCAGGACGACAAGTAATGCAAAGTTCAACCTTCATTATATTAAATTGCTTAGAAAAATGAGATCATGCAGTGAAATCTATTATTCTGTTGATAGTTTGCATTTTATCTTAGTGAGCTAAATGAGAACACAATGGATCAGACCAAAGGAATACTTAAGTCACTCTACCACATGACTGCACCACATACTTCACCTGTTATCTGACATGACAAAGGACTCTCCTCAATCTCATCTTCTCTTCCAACCACTCCTTAGTGGCTACAAGTCGGGTTGCTAACCTCAAGGTCAGCAGTTCAGAAATACCAGTTGTTTCGCAGGAGAAAGATGAGACTTTCTGCTCCCGTGAAGATTTACAGCCTCGGAAACCCTAGACAGGGTCGCTATGAGTCAGAACTGACTCCACGGCACACTACCAGCATCACTACCACCTTCTTGGTTCAGCATGACTAACTTATTTATGTAAACATTGTCCCAATAGTTCTCCGGTAAGCCCTCTTCTGGTCTGTCTTTACAAATTTTCCTCAAGCCATCTTACTCCACCCCAAAAAGTCATCTCTTTACATTAGACAAAATTAAAGTAACATCACCTGTGTTGAATTCTCTCCTGAGTTCCCCACCCCAAACTCCAACTGTTTTCTAAAACTCACTAAACATATATTCCTTTTACCTCAAACAGGAGCCCTGGTGGTACTGTAAAATAAATACTGGACTTGGCTATACAGACAATGAGGAAGTATACAAATTAGTCTTTTAGGAAGCTCTATAGACTTCTTTAAGGAGCTTTGGTAGTGTAGTGGTTACGAATTGGGCTATGAATCACAAGGTCAGCAGTTCAAAACTACCAGCTGTTCGGCGGGAGAAAGATGAGGCTCTCTGCTCCCGTAAAGATTTACAGCCTCGGAAACACTGTACAGGGTTGCTATGAGTTGGAACCGACTCCACGGCACATAACAACAACAACAATGGACTTCTATAACCGAGTCCAAACTTTATAAAATACTATTTAAGTAGACTTTCAGAATCTGATAGCAACAATTATCTTTAGCCTTGTCTCTTTGTAGAAGCTCTCCCTACGCATCTATTTGTATCTGTTACATTTCTCCAAGGTTGTTATAGAGTCTTGGTACGGCACGATAGGATATGGCCTAGACCGTGACATCAGTTTGAATCGCAAGGTTGGCAGTTCAAACCTACTAGTTGCTCCTCAAAAATCTCATGCAGGGTCCCTATGCATCAGAACTGACTTAACGGCATTTAACAACAAGAAGACTGATATATTTTAAATATTTATATGCTAAGGCTAATTTTAACTTGCAAAGTATTTGTTAATTAAGTCACTTACTAAAATGAATGCATTGATTTTAACATTCCATGGTAAGCCATATTAAATTTATTCTTCAGCTAGGATAAAAGGACTATTATGTTTAAACAACAACCAAAAAAAAAAAAAAATCAACTAAAAATCAGCTTTGTTCCCATTTAAAAAAAAAAAAAAAAATCCAACTAAATTTACTAGAAAACAATAATTATCTCAACTAGTTCAGATAAGTCATTATGCTTGATATAATTTTATGGAAATATCAGAGCTTTGCAAATCATCCCCTTTACCATACAAAATTAATATTAAAATACTATGGCATGTAATTCTTTTAGATATTAATATTTGTACTTTCAAAATTATTTATATCAGAACATTTTACAAGAAACTTTCACACCTATGATCCCAGATGGTCTGTTTCCAACAGTCCTCATAAAAAATCCATTAAATTATTTTGGGAGTCAAATATGTTAAACAAATAATACTTAACCTTTTTCACTGAAAAATTTTCAGACCACTAGAATGGCAAAGTAGAGCTTACAGAAGTTACCACTTGAATATGCTATTAAATATACTTAATATTTTGTTTACTTTAACGCAAACATATCTTCAACGACTAGTACCTTTTGTGGTCTTCTTTAGTCATGGTGGTGGTGTGTCACTGAGTCAGTTCTAACTTACAGCAACCTGTACTACGTTTCGGAGGCTGTAAATCTCTACAGGAGCAGAAGGCCTCACCATTCTTCTGAACTGCAACTGGTAGACTGAAACTGTAGAGCTTGCTGTTAAGAGTCCAGCTCGTTATCCACTATGTTAAAAGAACTTCTTGATTTAATCATAATTCTCCTTAAAATAATGTATCAAGTTGCCAATTGGATTAAATTATTTTACAAAATAAACGTATCATAAAAGTATAATAATGTTCAAAGACAGAATGTTATAAGTTGACTAAGATTAGGTGAATACACGTTAGCCTTCCATATCACCTATCATAACATTTAGTTTTTTCCTAGTTTTCACTGAATTCCTAAGGCTCATGCAGAAGTCACAAAATCAGCAACAACAAAAATCCTATTAGAAGAAACTAGTGAAGAAATGAATTGATAAGAAAGTTCTGATTACCCTGGTGGGATAGATACCTGAAAATGCTTTTTACCTTTTAACTCTTTAATGTTAGACCTACCCTGTACTTAAGTAGAAGTCTTCTTTGTGTATAGCCAGACAGATAACTTCACTGATATTAATGGTGCCGTTGGGTGTGGTAGACTTATCATTGTCATAGTAGCTCAAGAAACCTCCTTCCAAAACACACCACTTTTTATTTGTCTCTGTGAATTTAAAACAAATTGATTAAATAAAGTCTATTGCATGCACTTTTTAAAAAGAATCATGATTTTGACTTATGACTAGATTCAAATAAATAGATCAATTGCCTATTTTGTACAGAGTATACAATCACTGCATGGGATATAAAGTTGTTAAACTCTATGCTCTCAAAAAACGTAGTGTAGTAGCTAAGGCTATGTTGTTGTTGTTAAGTGTCGTCGAGTCTATTCCATCTCATGGCGAATCTGCACAGGGTTTCCACAGAGCAGATGGTAGATCTTAACTACCAACCTTGTGGTTCGTAGTCCAATGCTGATCCTACAGCCCACAGCATGTTGACATATATTATTACTAATTTTAAGTTGTAATGTATTTTCTAATAAGCAACTTACTAAAATGAATTCATTTATTTTAACATTCCATGGTGAGCCATATTAAATTTACTAATCAGCTAGGAAAAAAGCACTATTATGATTAAACAAAAACAAATCAACTAAAAATCAATTTTGTTTCAATTAAAAAAATCCAACTAAATTTACTAGAAAAAAATAGTTACCTCAACTGGTGTCAAATGAAAGATACATATAATAAATAGGAATGTAGAATCTAATTGTGCATATTCTGATGAGAGACAAATGACATAGCTCTTTAAAAAGTGGGTACAAACTCCCTTTAAGTTAGAAATCAGGACTTGAGGAAACTGAGTTCTGCAGGATTATTATTACTGTAACCACTTATTGAGTCTTTTTTTAAGTGAAAATGGACTATAAGTCAGCTAAGGCAGGTACAGATATTATATTAGAGGGCTAGCAGAAGAAACACTTTGACAGAAAATCTTCACATTTCTATTTATTTGAAAAGAAATAAAAGCTTTAACAAAATTATGTTGAATTACATTGGTCTACTTAGGCCAATTCAGATATACTCTTCTGATTTTAACTTTAAGAGATGTCAAAACCTCTATGACATGCACTGTGCTACAAAAGTCTTACTATTAATCAGTTGTCATGACACATCCAAATGGTTACCATTCAGGATTCATCTGTGTGAAACACTGGAGCTTCACAAATTGTCAAGGGGATGGACTAGGCAGAGGGGGTGGGTACTGCTCATTCTTTATTTTAATCCTGACGCTTAGATCATAGAATGAAACATTATTCTGAATAAGTGAAAAAAGCCAGAGATTATTTATTTAAGTTTTATTATGGAATAATTTTCTAGTCTACAGCTGAGGATCTTGGTTGTCAACTATCGCTTTCCTGTAGGATATAGTTCAGCAGCCTCTGGGGAGTGCAAATGGCTAAGAAATCAAGCATTATCTGAAAGGCTGGTTCCCAGGCACTTCCCAGAGGTGCCTGGGAAGATGGACTTAGTGGTCTGCTTACAAAAGGTCACAGCCTTAAAATCTCTATGGGGCAGTTCTACTTTTTACATATGGGTTGGAATCAGCTTGATGGAAACCAGCAACAGGACATACCTAAACACAAAGGTTAATTGAGACTAGGAACACTTGTGCTTGTGTATACACCCTTCACAATGTCAACTCCATTCAACCATATTTATGTGCTATGAAATATTTTTTTTATGGGGAAGCATTTCCTTTTTAAATTTAGATTCTTGCTAGTAATACAAAAATTATATTATTATAAAAACAACAATTTATACAGTAACTTAAAGATCAGACATTTAAGAAAATACCAAAGTACTCAACCACAACCAGAGAAGAAAAGTCCAATCACCTCATTCCACTATCAAGCAAAATTTTATTCTAAATTTTCAGTCTCTGTCTTGAATGGGTGGCAAAACTTCAAGTAGAAGGTAAGGATTTATAAATGCAAATTTGAGGGATTTTGCCCTCCAAGGAAGATCAGGAGAAGTCTTACAGTTTATTCCAGTGTTGGATGTTCCAACATGGTTTCCATGTTAGGAGTTTTGACAATTCCATCACTGCCAGGATTAAGATTTTATACACCATCTTTACACGTTAAAAAAAAGACTCTATTCCATGTTATTGTTAGGTGCTATCCAGTTCATTCCAACTCATAGCAACCCTATGCACAATAGAACAAAACACTGTTTGGGACAGTGTGCAATCCTCACAATTGTTGCTCTGGTTGAGCCCATTGCTACTGCCACTGTGTCAATCCATTTGGTTGGCATTCTTTTTCTTGTTCACTGACCCTCCACTCTACCAAGCATAATGTCCCTCACTAGGGAGTGATTCCTATTGGCGATATGTCCAAACTATGAGAGACAAGTCTATCCATCTTTCTTCTAAGGAACATTCTGGCTGTACTTCTTCCAAGGCAGATTTACTTGTTCTTCTGGCAATTCATGGCACGTTCAATATTCTTCTCCAACATCGTAATTCAAATGCATCAATTCTTCTAACGTATTCCTTAATCAATGTCCAACTTTCACATGCATATGAGGCAACTAAAAAAATACCATAGCTTGGGTTTTGCCCTTAAACACTTTAAAGATGTCATGTGCAACAGATTTGCCTAATGCATTAGACTGTTTGATTTTTTGACTGCTGTTTATATGATGAGTATTCATCCAAGAAAAAAGAAGTCACTGACAACTTCCTTCTTTTCTCTGCTTATCATGGTATTATTTATTGGTCCAGTGGTGAGGATATTTGTTTTCTTTACATTGAGGTGCAACTTATCCTGAAGGCTGCCATATTTGATTTTCATCAGTATTTTAAGTCCTCTTCACTTTCAGCAAGCAAGGTTGTCTCACCTGAATATTGCAAGTTGCTATTAAGTCTTCCTCCAATACTGATGCTATACTCTTCTTCATATAATGCAGCTTCTCAAAATATCTGCTCAGCATACAAATTAAATGAGTATGGTGAAAAATTACAACCCTTGCACACACATTTCATGATTTTAAACCATTCGGTACCTCCTTGTTCTGTTCAAATGACTGACTCTTGGTCTATGTGCAGATTCCTCATGAGCACACTCAAGTGTTCTGAAATCTTTGCAATGTTATCCATAGCTTGTCATGATACATATAGTCGAAAGCCTTTACATAGTCAATAAAGCACAACTAAACATCTTGCTGGTATTCTCTGCTTCCAGTCCAGATCCATCTGAAATCAGCAATGATATCCCACATTCCATGTCCTCTCCTGAATCCAACCCAAATTTCTGGCAGTTCTCCTTTGGTGGACTGCTGTAATTGTTAATGTCAGTTTGTCATACTGTGGTTGTGTGTGTATTGTTGTGATGATGGAAGCTATAGGAGCAGTATATTAAATATAATCAGGGTGTTCCATGGTGGACAAGTTTCAGTAGAACTTCTGAACTAAGTCAGACTAAGAAGAAGGAGAGACAAACTAATTCTGAATGTTTAGTCATTGGAAATGCAGCAAAACGTTGTCACACATAGTACCAAAAAAGAAAAACATTTTGAATATCAGCAGAAAATTGTCAGATATAGTGAAAAACGATGAGTTCTTAAAGTTGGAAGGTACTCAAAATATGACTGGGGAAGAGCTGCCTTTTCAAAGTAGAGTTAAGAGTAATGATGTGACTGGAGTAAAGCTGTCAGGATTTTCATTTACTGATGGGGCACAACTCAAAATGGGAAGAAAGAACAGCAAACTCCATTAATAACTGGAACATGGAATGTATGAAGTATGACTCCAGGAAAATTGGAAGTTATCAAAAATGAAATGAAATCTATAAAGTTTAACATCCTAGGCATTAGTGAGCTGAAATGTACTGGTGTTGACTATTTTGATCTGACTATGCCAGGAAAAAACAAATTTAAAAGAAATGGCAAATTACACATCAACAAAAAGAACATTTCAAGAGCTATTTACAAATACAATGCTGTCTGTGATAGGATAATACTATATACTTACAAGGAAGATCAGTTAATACCACCTTTATTCAAATTACACAACAAGCACAAAAGCCGGTGATGATGAAATTGAAGAATTCTATCAATTTCTTTAGGCTGTAAGTGATCAAACTTGCAAACAAGATGTACTGATAATTACTGGAGATTGGAATGTGACGGTTGGAAACAAAGGGTCAGTAGTTGGAAAATATGGCCTGGGTGATAGAAATGATGCTGGAGATCACATGGTAGAATTTTGTAAGATCAAGAATTATACACTAATGACTGAAGATTAGAAAAGCTGTGGATGACATCAAGAACATCATATAGGAAGAAAGCAAAAGGTCATTAAGATAGGAAAGAAAGAAAAGACCAAAATGTGAGAAGAGACTGTGAAACATGTTCTCCAGTATAGAGAAGCTAAAGCAAATGGAAAAAAATGATGAAGTAAAAGAGCTGAATGGAAAATTTTAAAGAACAGCTTGCAAAGATAGCCATATAATGAATTTATATAAGACAGTCTTATAATGAAATTTTGTAAAAATAACTGGAGTCACCAAACCAACAAGAAAAAACACACTCAGCATTTCTCAAGCTGAAAAAACTGAAGAAAAAACCCCCAAAAAACTCAAGTCTCAACTTGCAAATATTGAAGTATTCCATGAGCAAAATACTGAATGATGCAGAAAGCATCAGACGATGACAAGTATATGAGCAGCTATCTAAGGGCAGCTATTGGTGTGTAGGAAACAAGAGTGATGAAAACTGAAGGGGCTTGGAAACAATGAGTCCCATAGACTTACAGTCCAACAGACTGAACATCAGAAAGCATGAACATCATCAGCCTCTATGACCTTGACATCAGCAGAACTAGATTGTGCCCTGCTACCTCTACTAACCACTTTGAAAGAGATCATATTATAAATTTAGGATAGCATGGGATTAAAATATGGAAAAACTTCAAATTTATAAAGATACCAGACTTACTGGACAAAAAGAGACTGAAGGAATCTGAGACTATAGCCTTGGTTGCCCTACACGTCTGAAACGAAACTGTTTCTTGTGGTTCAATTTTCAGCCAAGCATTAGATTGGTATATACAGCCAGAGTGCTCCTTGGAGGCCAAGATAGCCAAATTTTGTCTCTC